AGAGCTGGACTTAGAATGTGGGAACTAAGTATTACTTTGGGTAAACTACTTTTTTTCTTAGTCTCATTTCCTAGCTTAAAAAATTAATAGTACAACAATTCGTTTATCTTAGAGAGGATAAACTGTTCAATCATTTACTTATTGTATATAAACACCGTATCTAAACATATATTGCATAAAAGAATATACTATGTTCAAAAAACTTTCAACAGTTCAAGTTGATCAATGGAAATAACTGAGAAACTACAAATTTCATCTATTGAAGATAGCAGGATGTTTATATTTTGTATAATGTTACTTAGCAATAATACAGTACCTTCCCTATTTAAGCAGAAGTGAATATAAATAGCTACATTTATTTGAAATCTACATTTCTAAATTTCCTTAGGGTTCTTTTTTCCCCTTCTATGCAACACAAAAAAGTTTTTGGGGAAAATATGTCCAAAGATGTGTTAAAGTGAGCAGGCTTCAAGAGACAGTTAAGAATATAATTTAAGAGTCTGACAGAAGATGAATATTATAGGGCATTTCAAAGAGAAGAAATTTTCCTACTTTATGATATTCAAAGGCTACATAAGAGAGGGCCCCATATGGTGGCTCACGCCTGTAATCCTAACTCTATGGGAGGCCGAGGTAAGTGGATTGTCTGAGCTCAGAGTTTGAGACCAGCCTGAGCAAGAGCAAGACCTTGTCTCTAAAAAAAATAGCCGGGGTTTGTAGTGTATATAGTCCCAGCTACTTGGGAGGCTGAAGCAAGAGAATTGCTTGAGCCTAAGAGTTTGAGGTTGATGCCACGGCTCTCTCCTGAGGGCAACAAAGTGAGACTCTGTCTCAAAAACAAAACAAAAAAAGGCTATCAGAAAATAAAAACTTATGAAAGAAATACCAATTAATAAATGTGAAGGTATTTCAATATGTCTATTAAATAAAAAGAAAGCAAACAATTAAAAGGGTCTCCTGTTTACCTCTTCTACATTGGAAGCAGTCTTAGCAGAAGTTTCCATGAAGATAAGTCCATGTTCTCGTGCAAAAGCTTCGCCTTCTTCTTTTTTTACTTCTCTTCTAGATTCTAAATCACTAAATATGGGAAAGAAAGAGTCATGTTATTAACTAAAATGGTACAAACAGAGGCATCTGTGGAAGGTGCATCATGATAGTCAAACTTGTACTAATAACTCTTTCAACTAATTTTTAACAGACAGTGATTAACTACATTATTCTGGGTATTATGATGGTCAAAGTGTTTAGAATGCACTGTGTAGTTTCAAATCTGACTTAAAAGTCCCAGAATGCTAGTAACTAGCAGCAACCTAAAAGGAACCTTCAGTCCAATACCCTATTTTTTAGTACAGTGAGTTTCCACAGCAGAAAATCATTTTGCTTAAAGTAACAATTTGAAATAGCAGGACTACACTATTTCCTCATCTGCTAGCCAGACTGAGTTTTATGAATGTGATTAAAATATAGCACTCAGAAGCTACAGGTAATTGTTTAGCAAAATCCAAAGTGCTAAAGAAACATGAGATCATTGCCCCATCAGTTTAACTCCCAGTTTCTTCTTAAAGCAAACCTGTAATAAAAAGGGGGGAAGCAGTAGAGGGGTAGGAGGGAGGGATGAAGGCAGAGAGGAGTCTAAATCAGAAATATTGGATGAAACCAGTGATATTCATTTTCAACATACTGGATTATATTCATGAGGTAGGGAGAAAAAAGTAGCAGTCTCTTTCAAGTGTGTTTTATTGTAAAAGATAAAAAACTTCACAATTATATAAGATGTATTACTTCTTATTGATTTATACTTACTGTAATCATATAACATTTATACACAGGAAAGGATGTAGAGTAATATAATGTCCATGACTTCCAGCTATCCTTGACATATTGACAGATTTTGTGTTTCTTTCCTTTTAAGAAGTAAAATCAGTAATAGCTGAATAGCCTCCTGTGTGCCCTGCATGAGTCCCTGATCCCATTCTCCTACCTCTTACTCCAAAGGTAACTACCACCTGAATCTTGTGTTCCTACGTTCATATTTATACTTCATGTTTGTGACCATAAATAGAGAGTATTTCTTTGGAATGTTTTGAAGAATTCAGATGTAGCCACTGTCCTACGCTAATTTGCAACATTACATTTTTCAAATTTCTTCAGACGATACACATAGAAATAGTTTCTTAACATTTTACTGCTGCATTATATTCTACTGTATAAATGCATTAGAACTTATTTTTAATTCTACGTTGGACAAAGTTATTTATAACTTCTTATTGTTACAAAGAATGTTATGATAAACGCTTTATATATTTTTCTGGGTACAGTGCCAAAGTTTTTCCAGGAGATCATTTTTCAAACTGTCATGATGCAGTGACTTAAAAATCACTTTAATAGGTCATAACCAGAATTAAAAAAATAGAGAGAGTGTATCAGCCAGTGTTTCATAAAATTTTTGTTTTATATACACATATAATTCATGAACATTTTATTATATTTGTAGGTCTATACACAATTTATGTACTAGGTCATGGTATAAAATGTATTTCTTACCATAAATAAAAATTAAAAAACCATAAAGTCAAATATAAAAACTTGAGACATCGTATTTGAAAATGTATTATACTTAGCAAAAACTGCTTTCAAAAATGCCTCAGCAAAGAAAGCATATGACATTTGAAAGAAAAAAACTATAGCAGATGTATAGAAAACACACATTAATGGAAGAGAGAAAGTAAAGAGATTAATGACCGATAAGCCATGGATGGTAGGGTGGACTAATAATGTATATAGCAATGAGAAAACAAACTTACTAAGTTCAGCAAAATTTGTGCTGTTCAATTTTAACTGTGTGGGAAGTTACTGAGGAATTAGGGCAAAGCCAGGAGTTTTCACTTAACTTAGTAGACACACAGTCATTTCCTTAACCATTTTTTGGTTTTGGTGGTGTTTTACTTCTTCTAACCCTCTTCCTTTTCCTTCTCCTCCTCCCCGGTTCCACCTTTCTCTCTTCCCTTTTCTGTTTTTCTTTCCAATATTGACTACATGATATGCTGCAAAAGCATTAATAGTATCATTTAGGATAAGAAAAGACTACAAATAAGGAAGTCCAGCAATATAATATTTCCTATCTACTTTACTTTTTCTTTATTAGGATAACTTTTTTTTTTTTTTGAGACAGAGTCTCACTTTGCCACCCATGGTAGAGTGCTGCTGTATCTTAGCTCACAGCAACCTCAAATTCTTAGGCTCAAGCAATCCTCTTGCCTCAGCCTCCCGAATAGTTGGGACTACAGGCGCCTGCCACAACACCTGGCTATTTTTAGAGACAGGGTCTCCTTCTTGCTCAGGTTGGTCTCGAACTCCTACACTCAGGTGATCCACCTGCCTTGGCCTCCCACAGTGCTAGAATTATAGGCATGAGCCACTGTGCCCAGCCTTATTAGGACAACTTTTAAAGTGCTTTCCTAATACTGAGTTTAAAACATCCTTATGACAGTATCCAATAGTCCTTTATTCTGGTTCTGCTATCTGTGACAGTTCAAGACTAGCCTCTTGAACTATATTTGCTATTACATCTATGACTACTAGTCCAAAACTACTATCAAATCTTAAATTGTGTTTAAAGAAAATTCTTGATTTATTTTTTTATTTGTTAACTTTGAGCATTTTTATATTCACCATGATTCTGGGTGTATTTCTCCAGATTGGAAATGTCTTCCTTAAAAGGTGTTTCCTATTCTTGAGCATAGAACTCCAAAGATAAATAGAATTTTATATATTCCATCTATAATTTGGACATTATTTTCAAAATGTAACTAAAATAAAATACCTCCGTTTCCTGGGCATAAAATCACATTGTTGTGTTTGCCTACTTTCTCCTGTTGAGTCCCATTTAAGTTGCTCACATTACTTACATACTTTTCCTTCCTAAAACCATTGTTTTAATTTATATCCCCTTTTTGTTTGTGGTTTGTATTATCATCTTTTTACTAATACTAAAAATTTTCATCTTTTTAAACTCTGACTCCTTTTCTTATGTAACCAATTTAAAATGCTGTAGTAAGAAAAAATTATGTCATCTGTTACTCCAATTAGGCCATTGCCCTTCTCAAATCTCTTCACTGGTTCCCTACCTACTTAATGCATCTAATTCAAAAATTGCTTATTCCCTATTTTAATGTCTACCTCAATTCACCTTATCCAATAATAATTACCTCTTTTATTTTTCACTATTCTTATATTCTTCATTATAAGGTCCACTGATTTATTATTATAATCATTAGAAACATCTCTTATTTTTCCTTCTCACATTTGAACTATGAGCTCCTCATAGTAAGTAACCACATTTAAGCCACCAGCAAGCTGCCACTAATGTTTCAGACACAAGGGGAAAAAACTATTAAAAGTATGAAAATTCAGGAGGTGAGGCAAGATGGCTGACTGAAGCCAGCTTTCAGCAGAGGCTCCCATCCAGAGGAGAAATAATGGCCAGAACCAACCCAATAAAGTAGAAGACTGGGAGCTGAGCTGAGAGAGAGGATTGATAAGTTTGCATCAACCCTGCTGAGGCAAGCTGGGACTCCAAGGAAACAAATTTCAGGTACAAAACCCATCCCAAAGAGGGCAGAAATCCTTCCCCTCCCCGACTTCATGAGAGTAGCTTGAGGCGAGTATAGAACAGAGTACCTTTTGTTTCACCAAAGGGGAGAGATACTGCTACAAACCCTCGCAGCCTCTTGCCTTGGCCAAAAGTTGAACTAATATTCACTCTACCTTCCTGAACTCCCAATCCACCCTTCCTACCTCTCCTGGAGGTCTGGGAGACTACCCCTTGCAGAATCTGGAGTGTCTGGCAGATTTTTGCTACAGTGGGGCATCTCATGAGCTGTAGGGACAGTTGCGCTGAAACTGTAACTTTAATAGAGGCGGGGAGTCACAAGTGGAGAGAGACTTGCCCCATGTTGGAAAGAGCACAGTGGGACCCATGCCACAGAACACCAGGGACCTGGTGGCACTGCTCTCTGGCTCCCTGCCCAGCCCTTGTGCCCCAATGCCAGTGGCTGGTGGCTCTGCCCTCTGGCTCCCCACCCAGTTCCTGGGACCTGTGCACAGCAGTACCCTAGACTGGCAGTGCCACCCGTGAAAGTGCAGGCGGCTCCATGGTCCCTCGCACTGGGGTCAAATTTGGAAAAGACACCTCCCCAATTCTGTGGAACACAGAAAGGAACCTGATCTGACCTTCAGGGGTTCCAGAGGTGGAGTGTGGCCAAGGTAGATGCGTGGTCTCTGGGCAAGAGAACCACAGTAACCCCAGCTGGGTACAGATGCAGGTGGAACACTCCCCAGTTTCCAATGATCACCAGAGGGAATCAGGCTTGAACTAGTCCTGCCTGCAGGTTGCACAGTGAGATGGCCTGGTCAGGAAAGCACTGCCCCCTCTTTGACTTAGGTGCAAATCCCTAGTGTACTTGAGTATTAGAGAGAGCTGGGCTACAGCCCTGTGGGGTAACCAGTGACTGGGGATGATGGTAATGCAAAGTGGGAAAGAGGCACTAGACCCCCTGGAATAATACTATTGCTAGGTGGGCCTTTATGACTTCACAGACCACTAGAGCAAGTCACATGTGAGCTGCCAGTAGACCTCGGCTGTCCAACTGCTGGAGGCCTTTTGAACTCTCTCACTTGATCTGTGTTTGTGCTGACCAGGACGACTGGTTTGGAACTCTTGATCTAGGCCGATCACCTGGGGACTCTTATACATGGTTGTGTTGTAGAGGGAGGGAGGGTATCTCCTCTCCCAGTTATTGCCAGCGGGGTGCAGGGTATCTTAATTGCTTGTATTCCTCCACAGCTGAGACTTCAACCCAAAGTCACTGATCCACTAGGACTGGTCAGAGTCCAGCTAAATACAAGACAGACCCACCTAGCCCCATCAATTAAGTGGGTCCCGAGAGTCTCAGGCTGTAGTACTGAACTGGACCTTGGTAAAGCCATAGGGGGAAAGCCGCCATCACCAGTCCCAGCACTCTGGTAAAGGGCTGATTCATTCCATCTCCAGGAGTCCTCAATTTAATTCCATTTTA